CCAAAAAAAAAAAAAAAACAGAATCCAGAAAAATTAAAATAGAAATGTAATAGGGCCTTAAAAATGTGGTGACAATCAAACACACCCTGACCTGTCCTGCATTCACATGCACACTAAAATACAATTGAACTAATATGTTTTTAAAAAGTGCACAACAGAAACACACAATGTGGTTTATTAGGTGGACTGTGTGTCCTTTATAAAGGAGATGAAGGAGAATATGAATATTAATGCAGTGGCAGGATGCTAATAAGGATGTTTTTTTGTAATACAGCACTAGCCACCCGTCAGACACACCATCAACAACACTCTCAGAATAGCAATCAGTTTACTGAACTTCCCCTCGCTGTACGTCTCTCTCAGTGGGTGGTCTGTCTTTCAGTATCCTTCACGCCGTCTCTAACCGCTTACATAGGAAACTTCTGGCTTCTGGATAATTTCCCTTTATATTACATTCTTTTAAATGTAATGAAACACATTAACACTCGCCCACACAGCAGCACAAACCGGCTACAGCCAGAACACCCTAGAAACACCCTAATGACCACTCAAATAACCCCCTAACACTCATGTTTTTATCATCCTCCTAGCAACAACCTATAACACCCTATCAACCAACCAGCAATGCCCTAATGACCCAGAACCCCCTAGTAACTACTTAGCAACACCCTAGAAACCACCCAGAACACCATAACCACCTAGCAACACCATAGCAACCACCTAGTACCCCCAGTACCCATTTCGCAACACCCTAGTGACCACCCAGAACACCATAACCACCTAGCAACACCCTAGCGACCACTCAGAACACCATAAGCACCTAGCAACACCCTAACAACCACCTAGTACCCCCAGTACCCGTTTAGCAAAACCCTAGCGACCAGCTGTCTTATCAGCCCGCCTGCAAACAACAAGTGAGGAAGAACTAATCACTTGATTTCTGGACTAAATTGACAGTTTTTGCCAACATAAGACCAAAATCTGGCACGAAAACAATGAAGTAGTATTACAGTAAATAAAACTAATTAAATAATAAAATAAATGTTAAGAAACTGTTGAAAGCACATCTAATGTTGGTAGCATACAATGATTAAATGTGGTGTTTTATATGTCGATGTTTGTTTCCATTCTTGTACTTTTATGTAAAGCACTTTGGTTCAACCTCGGTTGTGTTTTAAATGGTGCTATATAAATAAATAAACAAGAACAAAATAAGATCAAATAAAATACAATTATTTAAAAAATATAATTATTTTATTCAGCAAGGATGCATTAAACTGACCAAAAGTGACAGTAAAGACATTTACAATGCTTTTGAACCATACATTCTCTTTTCCAAATTAAAGTATAAAAGATGCTGTAACTGTAGTGTAAGTTCAGGAGTTGTAATGAGCCTGAGTATGAGGAGGCCTCAGCAGGGTCACGAGAGGCTGAGAGATCAGGAGGGTGTGAATTTGGTGTCAGTCAGCAGGACGTGTGAAGTGATTTCATGCCCTCTATCCATTATGCATGCGGCGAGGACTCGCTCCCTGATCTCTCTCGACTGGCACCAGCATCCCGACACTCGGCTTACAGCTCACAAACGCTCTGCCAACAGCACCTCCACAGGGAAACATGGAGAGAGGAGGAGAAACGCCAGCATGTAAGAGCCAAACAGCACCAGAGACAGCCAGAGAGAGAGAAAGACGGAAATAAAAGGGACGGAAGACTTATTTACAGGCATGGGAAGGTCGTGCACCAGTTCGGCTCCAGCATTGAAATGTCAGATGAGTTTGTGAGCGAGCGAGCAGCTATTCTCTGTACTGTAAATGCAAACTCGCTGACACTCCAGGCGTTTAGCATTTCAATTCCTGAATGCTTCGGCAGCGCTTTTGTCAGAGGTGATTTAACTCGCGTCGGTTAGCTGTGCTATTTAGAGCGGTAACTAGAGACACAGCTGAGGCCGAATCATGAGCGGGACTTTAACAAACTACGGTACTGAAACTGCAGCATTTATCATAAGCAAACGCGAGCAGGACTGTGTGTTTATGGGATGTATCAAAGCCGTCTCGTAGCCCACGGCTGTTTGATGCAGACTGCACACAAAAACAACAAGCACACAGCTTTTCTTATCAGCCCGCCTGCAAACAACAAGCGAGGAAGAACTAATCACTCGATTTCTGGACTAAATTTTTGCCAACATAAGACCAAAATCTGGCACGAAAACAATGAAGTAGTATTACAGTAAATAAAACGAATGAAATAAAAAAAGATAAAATAAAATAAAATAATTTAAAAAAATTATAATTTTATTCAGCAAGGATGCATTAAACGGACCAAAGGTGACAGTAAAGACATTTACAATGCTTTTGAACCATACATTCTCTTTTCCAAAAAAAGTATAAAAGATACTGTAACTAGTATAACTTGAGCAAAAGAAACAAGTGATAAAAACTACTTATTTCACAACAAAATGAGGCACAAGGACTCCTGGAAATACCACTGAACAATGGCTCAAATGAATCAGTGAGTTGTTTATACTGATTACTTGACATTATTCATCCAAATTAGTCGCTTTACTAAAATAAATCAGACCGATATAGAGGAGATTGTGTTTCATTACTGATCAGCTCGCTCTGTGCAACACAACGTGACATAAACAGCAAAAGCTACACAGCCTCTTCAGTAAAGCAGCTTGTTGCTGGAGAAGCTGCATTTTTCACAGATAAGCTACTGTCACACTGACAAATGTTAGTAGGGCTATTACTTTAGTTAACAGCCTCTCCAGCACTAGTGTGTTAGACGGACAGATTCGGTTTAGAGAGAACAACAAATCTGATATCTGATCGCATACACACTGCAGTGCACCATGGGAGGATTTGGCTGAAGACATAAACAAAGTGAGTTTCAATATGAACACAAACATTTCTCATCCAATGATCTGAGCTGCTCTCAACATTCATTTTAAAGCTCTCTTACTGGTAGACAAATACTTAACTCATTTGTTTCTCTTTTAATTTCTACTATAAGAGTTTAAGAGAAAGATTCGATATGAAAGCTATGAACGCACAATATCTGAGCAATAAAACAACAAGAAATGATAAAGACATCTGATTGACAGCTTGCAAAACAAGCTATATGTCAGACAGGCTGAGATATGCTGTGATATTTGTCTGAAATGTCATTTGATTCACTTTATGTGATTATAAACACAAGCTTGAGCTTTTTTTTAAAGATGTGCCTTCAGCTGCATCTTAAGCAGAAGAAGGGGAAGTTTAAAAATGAATCAGAGTGAATGAAATCAATATAATGTGACATTTTAAATATATATTTTTTCAGAATAGCACACTGGAGAAAAATATGACAATAAAATAAAATGACCGTGACTTTCACTTTTAACATTTGTATTCTGCCTTTATGATCTGAAAGACTGGGGAAAGTGATATGAAAGTCATGCACATAAAAACATTAATGAAACAGATAGCAACAGATATAAAGCATTTAAAAATAAAAACGACACACTGAGAAAAAATTAAAACTTAAGCAATTTTCACTCAGAAATTGTAGTAAATTTCAAATAATTACAAAGAAACGGCAAGTAACATATTGAATTAAAAGTGAAA